ACACACACACACACACACACACACAGAGAGAGAGAGAGAGAGAGAGAGAGAGAGAGAGAGAGAGAGAGAGAGAGTGTTCAAGGTCACCTTTACTACTTAGTATGTCTGAGACCAGCCTGGGCTCCAGATGGGACACCGTCTTTAAAATAACCCAAACCACAGTGACGGGGGTAGGAGCGATAAGAAAGTGTCCCTTCACCTGCCCTGGCTATAGGCTTCCCCGATCCCGTTGGGAAACTTTGGCAAAGGAGCCTGGAGGGGTAGCGCAAAGCGGATTGCGCTGAATTCCCATAGTGTCGAAGACCCCCAGTCTTCAAGTCCAGCCTTCTGGCTATTGCGTCTCTTGGCCTCCCCCTCGCTTTCTGCAGCCAAGTGGAGCCGCCGAGACAGCAGGCCTGGCTGGCAGCCCCGTGCTCTGCCCGCTGCACCAGCTTCCCGAAATGATAGCCTCATCAGAGCTGCCACTGACCGGAGCCTGAGGGGTTTCGGGAAGGGCGTCTGCAGTTCCGAGCCAGGGTTTGCCTTCCCGTGTCTGCCCATCGTAGCGTCCTTCCTTGTCTAGGGGAAGTCCAGCAGCCCGAGCGTACGGGCAAGGAGCTTTAGGATCACTCCTTTTCCTGCATCAGGTCAGAAACTGAGACCTCAGGAACGTAGGGCACCGGAGAAATACAAACTCAGGGACTTGGTACAGGGGAATGCCAGTCACGTCTCGACCCATGGGATCTCAGGTGGCTGCGCCTCCCTTCAATCCTCTTTATAATATAATACCTGGAGTCAACTCAGCCACACCCCACGCCCAACACACGCAGAGGCACACACACACACACACACACACACACACACACACACACACACACACACACACACACTGTGCTCCTCCCGCCTCCTTCCAATTGGCTGCCGGGAGGGCAGGGCATGTGGGATTGGTTCCCGTCCCAACACTGATGGATGACTCCCTGCAGCCTGATGACTGGACCACTGTTGACTGGAGCAGTGGGAAGGGACAGGGGCTCTGCTCCAGTCCGCACTGATTGGCGGAGGCGGAGCCAGCCAGGCCTGGGAAGGGATGAGCCAGGCAGCCGCAGCCCACCCGGAAGTTCCCACTTTCTTTGCCCTGGAGCCCTTTGAAACTTAACGTGCTGTGGTTTCTGGAGGCTCAGACAGGAGGTTTGGGGCTACCCTGGACCACATAGTGAGATAGTGTCTGTCTCAAAACAAACAAACAAGACAACTCTTTCTATATTGTGGGGAGAAATTAATTGTGAGCTCTTCTACAGAAATTAATTGGGATCCCTCAACTCTGGATCCTGGCAATGGGAATAATTTACTGGGTACTCTACCGGCTCCTCTTTCCTTCCAACCGGGTCTCGTTCAGCTGTTTGTTGACTCACTATATTCAATGTTTTTGTTTGTTTGTTTTTTGGTTTTTCGAGACAGGGTTTCTCTGTGTAGCTTTGCACCTTTCCTGGAACTCACTCTGTAGGCCAGGCTGGCCTCGAACTCACAGAGATCCACCTGCCTCTGCGTGCGCCTCCACCGCCCGGCTCGTATTCAAATTTTTTAGACGTCTGTGATGAACCTTGTACTGGGGAGAAACCAGTGAGGTTGGGGTGGAGGGTCCAAAGAAAAGATTGAATTTGAGGGATATGTCAAGGCATAAAAACCTTTTAAAAATCCAATCTTGTTCCGAGTAGTGATGGGAATTTAGGTTCAATACATAAGATGTGTGTTCTTTTTAGTAAGAATTTTCAACAAAAAGTTAAACAAGTAGTTGCCAAGTTATATTCTAGCATCATTTGCGTGGTCTTCATCTGGACCCTAACCTCCCCTTCATCTCAGATGAGGGGGGACCGAAAAAAACAAGAGTGACTGGGAAGGGTGTAGATTTTATACGTGAACACCGATGGCTGTGGTCCCTCTACAAGGGCTGTATAGTGAGAGAAAAAAATCTGTACTGATCATAATACTGAAATTAAAATTCTTTTGGAATTAATTTTTCCAACAGACATCTACCAACTGGCTGTTCTGAGCTGGGCACTTTTGTTGGAGGTTGATGGGAGGTTTTTTTTTTTTTTGGTAGGTAAGAGAGGGAGCTTCTTTTTAAAAAATAATAATTTTTATCTTTTTTGTTGTTGTTATGTGAGACAGGATTTCTCCTTGTAGTCCTGGTTGTCTTGGAACTTGCTCTGTAGATGAGGCTAGCCCTGGTCATCATGGAATGAGTTCTGGTGACTAGGTTGGCCTCCGACTCGGAGATCCACCTGCTTCTGCCTGGATTGAAGGTGTGTGTCACCACACCTAGCTTGTGTGTGTGTGTGTGTGTGTGTGTGTGTGTGTGTGTGTGTGTGTGTATGAGATGTGTAAGCATACCTTCAGAGGTCAGAAGAGGGCATTTAATTCCCTGGAGCTGAAGTTCCAAGAGATTGTAAACTGTCAGATTGAGTTCTGGGAACCCAACTCTTGTCCTCTGGAAGAGCAGCAAGGTCTCTTAATTGATGAGCC